AAACTACAGACCAGACAATGGTGGGTTGATGGTGAGCTAGACCACACCCTGGACTTGGACAGCCTAGTTATGCACATCTGCTACCTTCTGTTAAACATTGTCCTCATGTGAGGTCTCTAAATGTAGACTTGGGAGCTGCTAGACCTCTCTGTCCTTACAATGTGGCCATATTAAATAAATATAGTTCTCTCCCCCTGGCTTTATACTATTTGGCTCTTTTAATTACCTTGTTGAACAGACAGCTTACCATGCCTTATTAGGGCTGTATGTGAGTGAGGGGCACAGGCTCTGATATTAACTCTGGTAACAGGCTAGGCTAGCCTTAATCTATCTATCTCTCTCTCTCTCTCTCTCTCTCTCTCTCTCTCTCTCTCTCTTTCAATTTTTGAGACAGGATCTCAGTATATAGCCTTAACCGGCCTGGTTAACCCTAATCCAACCTTAACCCTTACTTTGCATACCAGTCTGGCCAGGCTAACCCTAACCCCAACGCTTGCTTTGTAGGTGGCTGGCCTCAGATTAACAGAGACTTTCCTCCAAGTACTAGGATTAAGGCATGTTCTACCATGCCTGACTAGCTTTAATCTCTTAACAACCCTCCTGTTCCATTGCTCTCAAGAGCTGAGACTAGAGTTATAAGGCATCATAGATGGCCCACAAATACATTATTAAGAGTTTAAGATTTTTGAGATTTATGTGTACTTTATGTGTATGGATGTTTTTCTTGAATGTATATCTGTGCACCATATGCTCACAATGCCAGAAGAGGGTATCAGATCACCTGACCCCAGATCCAGGGACCCACATCCTCTGAAAGAGCAACTTGTGCCTTTAATTGCTGAACCATCTCTCTATTCCCTATTATTATGACCTTATAAAGACTATTATAGGGCTGGAGAGATGTCTCAGAAGGTAAGAGCACTGGCTGCTCTTCCAGAGGTCCTGAGTTCAATTCCCAGCAACCATATAGTAGTGCACAATCATCTATACTGAGATCTAGCAACCACATGGTGGCCCATAACAATTTATACTGAGCCCTGGTGCCCTCTGCTGGCCTGCAGGCATACATGCAGGCAGAATGCTGTATACATAATAAATAAATAAATACATCTTAAAAAAAGATTATTATAGTTGGGAATTTATGAATCTATGATTATTGTTCCTGTATTGCATTGATTCCACATACACCCCAATGTAGTAAACATTTCTTTCTATTTGCTTAATGCTATAGACAGATTTTCCCCATGTTACCAGAGTTAAGGGCATGACCAATCAATTTTTTATTAGATTTGAGGCCTGGTCTGCAGGTGGGAATTTATGCTTGGTGCTGTGAACTTGGACAAAAGCCCATAGCAACGGGATTCATAAGCCCTAGGGAGTAGGTAGGGCTCCACCTACTACTGTTGTGCTACTAAATGGTAATCCTGTCAAATAGCCTTCTAAATATTTATGTGGACACACATAGATTTTTGCTACTCTTACCCTTGGTCAGAGAAGCTTGTTTTTACACTTAATGCAGAGCCTAATTGATCAAACTGTTGCACATAAGTGTCTGTTGAACATGAGGTCCTAACAGGACATCTACATCACTCTCTCTGAGGTTTTAGTTAACACCATGCCAAAGAATGTCAGGGCTGGAGGGTGGGGAGCTCTGTGAAATGCCATCTTGTAGACATGGCCATTGCATTTCAGAGCTCATAGCTCATGACAGTTGGTGGGGTACTTAATGGGACAGAGAGGTACAGTGGGCATTGGAAGAGGATGAGAGGGGGCAATGGTATACATTAAAATGACCAAAATACATTAAAATGTGTGTTATTGTCAAAGAACAAGTAAATAAATAAGGTGTCCTGGAAAAAAAAAATACATGTTTGTGGAAAAATCGCCTAGAAGTATACAAATAAATGATGTTATTTAAACAAAAAAACAAACAAACAAACAAAAACAAGCATCGAGCTGGGGGGTGGTGGTGGTGGTGCACGACTTTAATCCCAGCATTCTGGAGGCAGAAGTAGGCAGATCTCTGTGAGTTCAAGGCCAGCCTGGACTACAGAGCAAGTTACAGAACAGGCTCCAAAGCTATACTGAGAAACTCTGTGTCAAAAACCCAAAACAACAAGAAGAAAGAACAAAATCAAAACAAAAATCCAGCAACATCAACACCTCAAGGCCAAGCCCCAGCAAATTCTCTCCCCTCTCTCCCCCTGCCCCATCTCTCTGGTCTTATTATGGTAGCTCTGTCTGTCCTGGAGCTCACTGACCTCAATTTATAGAGATCTGCCAACCTCTGCCTCCGCAGTTCTGGATTAAAGGTTTGTGCCACCATGCACTACTACCAGCAACCATTCTCTAGAGCCACACTGTACCTCCTAAATGTTCCAAACATTTCTAAACAACACCACAGCTGGTACAGTGTTCAAGCCCACAAGCCTATGGAAATATTTATAGTTAGATCACAGTCCTGAAACAATACCCAGTTCTAGAAATGAGCTTAGAAAATATTTAGAAATTTCCCACCCAGGGTGATCCATGCAACCCCCTAAAGCCCTCCTTGTTAATTAACCTCTCTGGAATTGTGTATATCCTTTACTTAATAACTTCTTTCCACTTATAAGTGAGCTTGTGGGTGTGGCCAAACAATGACTGATCTAACTGGAGACCCAAGCCATGAGAGGGAGCTCATGCCCACAGTGCCTGGATGGCCAGAAACTGGAAGCTGGATAGCTCAGAGACCTAGGGTAGAACCAAACATGAATGACGGGAAAACAAATTTTAAATGAAATGATTCGCAATAATATTCTACTATACTTACAGATTGGTGCCTAGCCCAATTTTGATCAGAGATGCTTCCCCCAGCTGCTGGTGGGAGCAGATGCAGAGACCCATAAGCAAACATTAGAGAATCCACCAGAAGACGGGGAAGGACTGCAGTAGCCAGAGGGGTCAAGGATACCAGGAGGACAGGTCCACTGAATCAACTAGGCAGGGCTCATAGGGACTCTCAGATACTGAAGTGGCAATCATGGAGCATGCATGAGTTTGTGCTAGGTCCTCTGCATACATGCTGTGGTTGTTTAGCCTGGGTTCTGTGGGACTCATAACAGTGAGAGTGGAGGTGTCTCTGACTCTTTTCACTGCTCCTGTGACCCTTTTCCTCCCATTGGGTTGCCTTGTCCAGCTTGATATGAGGGTTTATGCCTAGTCTTATTGCACCTTGTTATGCTGTGTTTGGTTGGTATTACTGGGGGGGGTGTCTGCTTTTGTCTGAAGGGAACTGGAGGAGCAGTGGATCTGGGGGAGAGGGAAAGTTTCCAAGTCAGGGGAGAAGACTGGGATGAAGAGAGGAAGGGGAGACTGCAGTAGGGATGTATTGTATGAGACTTTTCTCATAAATAAAGAAAAAAGAAAAAAAAGGCATAGAAAGTCTCAACTTTTCTGTGTACAGGAGTCCCCTGGACATCTCAAGATTCAGAGGGTCTTGTCTGAGATTCTGTGTAATAAGCTTGGACTGAGCCTGTTGATGTTCAGACCACAAGCTGCAAGGATGTAGACCAGGATCCCCTAGTCCATGCACAGTCTCACTCACAGCTGATAACAGGAGTCATTGTTGAAGAAGACTGTATTCCCCCACACTTGCAATACCAGCACTCAGGCTGAGGCTGGATGATTTATAGGAGTAGAAGGTCAACTCAAACTATTGTATCGCTCACTTTTCTCGTTACTGTAAAGCAAACAAACAAACAACCTCAAAGAAGAAATAAGCAACTTAAGGCAAAAAGGATTTATTGTGGTTTTTGATTTAAGAAGGTACAACCCATCCTGGCAGGAAAGGCATGGTGGAGTTCATGGAAGCTGGAGCACATGGCTGGGATGACTCACATCTCCATGCATCAGGAAGCAGAGTGTGAGGATGCTGGCTCTTATTCCCTTATCTTCAGTCTAGGCCCCCAAATCACGGGCTGGTGTCACCCACATTCAGTGTAGTCCCCTCCCCTCAGTTAATCTTCTCTGGAAATCCTTTACAGACATTTCCCGAATTGTAAGTCCTGGGAGATTCTAAATCTAGTCAAGCTGACAATGGAGATTTGCCATCACAGCTACATAGTGAGTTCCAGGCCAGCCTGAGGTACAGTGTGAGACCCTGCAGAAGAGAGAGAAAGAAAAAGTAATATCTGGTTTCCCTGCTTTACACTCTAAGACAGTGGATCTGCAAAGAAGCCTGAGAATTCTAGAACAAGGTTTGAGGTCACTGATGTCAATCATCAGAGCAGCATCCACAACAAAGAACAGTCCCAAATGTCATCACCACTGAGCTGTCATGTTGACAGGTACATATTGTTTTCTCTTCTATGGTATTTAGCTCAGGTAAGCAATTAACATGATGAAAGGCCCTGACTGATATCTGACTTATAGACACAATTAATGGAAAATTCAAATACTTATCATTTAAACATGAAGAAATTTATTATGTGAAATTATAGGCTTACAAATTTTTTATCTTAGAAAAATCAAACCCCAAACTTGAGTCTTCACATCTAGGGACAGAACACAAAGCCCATCAACACCAGGTTCTGTACAGGTACAGGTAGATCACCAATAGAGCCAAGGACTCAGCCATGCTCAGCTGCAGGGATGTTTAGCAGAGTGATGGGGGACCAGGTCTCTGCTTCCTTTCTAGACTTTCAGGGAGGAGGGAGTTCTAATGCCAGGACATGGGGCCAAGGGGTGGAAATAAAATGACAACCGTTATCTAATACATCCTTTTCCATCTCTGGGAGGATAAAGACAGAGAAGGATGCAGAATGAGTCGGTTACAGAGGAAACTTCTATTCCTAAACCTCAGATAATATTCCAGGGTATGGTCACAGGCAGACCTACAGGAAACACAAGAAGAGGACCAAGTACCCTCCCAGAGGCCTGTTGCCTTCTGCTGGAGACTCCACCTCAGATTTGTATCCACACCACCAGAATCCTCAATGTGAAACCTTTGTTCTCTATTTTCAGGTGTTCCTCACAGAGTTACTTAAAAATGGTCCCAAAGTGGCTAAGCACAGATGAATGGAAACACTTTATAGTAACACAACAGGAGATGGGCACATTTACATGCAGGGCTTGAAATTTCTCAATAAGGCCCAAATCTCAAACACTGTCTTTATCCTACCTGTATTCTTCCTCATCACAATGGCAGCCACAGCTCCAGCTACCAAAACTCCAAGGAGAACCAGGCCAGCAATTATTCCCATGGTGGGGATGGTGGGAGAGGGAGGAGGCTCTGGGAGAGAGAGTAGGAGAGGATAGAAGTGAGGGACCCTGACCCTGCTCAGGGCTCCTGCTTTCCCTAAGGACAGGCTCTGTGCTCTCACCCCTCCTTACCCCATCTCAGGATGAGGGGCTCAGGCAGCCCCTCATGCAGCACATGGCATGTGTATCTCTGCTCTTCTCCCGAAGGAACCACCACAGCTGCCCACTTCTGGAAGGTTCCATCCCCTGCAGGTCTTGTCTCAATAAGATCCATGTCCTGGGTCAGGTCCTCCTCATCCCTCTGCCAGGTCAGGGTAATGTCCGCAGGATAGAAGCCCAGGGCCCAGCACCTCAGGGTGACGTCTCCTTCAGGCCTGGGGTGATGGTTCACATTTGTTTTTGGAGGATCTGAGGAGAAGAGTCAGAGAAAACACCCTTCTGTTCCTTCCTGTGGAGCACTTGAGCACTGATCATGTGATCACCCCAGAGTTGTGTTGGAGATTTAGAGAGTAGCATGTAAACTGCATGGACTCAGGATGCAGAACTACCTATTCCTTGGGAAGTTCAAGAATAAAGGCATGAACCTCTATACCTCTGAGTAGATTAAAACCCAGTGACTCTGAATAACTATAGCTGATCCATGAACACTGACAGAAACAGGGGCTGAGATCAAAAGGGAACTGCCACTCACTATTTCAGAGCTGGTTCCTCTCCATTCCTGAACAGATGGAATCTGTATTATGGTTTGAATATAGTGTTCCCCCATGGCTCAGGTATATGAAGCTTTGGTTTGTTCTGGTGATGCTGATGATTCTAGTGGAATATTCAGTGTGTAGGGTCTAGCTGGAGGGAGTTGGTCACTGGGCATTGGGCCTTAAGAATTATAGTCTGTTTCTAGCTACTCTCTCCTCCTCATCTGCCCAGATGTGAGGAAGGTTTCTAGGCTGTGGCCCTGACCTGCTCCCACCACCATGTGCCCCTTATGAACTGTTAACTGATGGTTGGAGAGTCACAATACTCCAGTTCTTTCCCCTGAAATTGCTTTTTCTCAGGTATTTGGTCACAGTAATGAGAGAAGCAAGTCATACAATCCTTGAAAGAAGGGTGGATCCTGTGGGATCTGGAAACCAGGGAGGCTTCCTCTGCTCGAGACCAATGGTGAAAGGGTGGTTGTGACTAACTGGAGAGGCATCAGCAAGTATCTAGATAGGGCACCAATGACAAATGTCTTAGTACTGTTCTATTGCTGTGACAAGACACCATGACCAAGGCAACTTATAAAAGGAAGGGAGCAAGTAACTGGAGGGCATGGGCTTTGAAATCTCAAGGCTCAACCCCTGTGACACACCTCCTCCTACAAAGTCACATCTTCTGATCCTTCCTACACAGTCCACAATAAAAGCCAAACATTCAAGTGTGTGTGCGCGTGTGTGTGTGTGTGCGTGTGTGTGTGTGTGTGTGTGCGCGCGCGCGCGTGTGTGTGTGTGTGTGTGTGTGTGTGTGTGTGTGTGTGTGTGTGTGCATCTGTACACATGCAGCACATATCTGAAGGTCAGAAGACAACTTGTGGGAATCAGTTCTCTTGCTGACCTAATGATTCTTTCATACTGCCTCAGATTATGCAGCCTTTGTTTCATAGAGGGATGAATAGTTACAGGACTCAATTTCTCTGCTTCCACAGCACTCAAATCTATGTCCCACAGTATTGTGAACCCTGTTTAAGGATTCCTTAATTTTAAAAAATATTTGTTTGTTTGTTTCAAAAAGTTCAGTGGGAGAACATTCCTGATTATTAAGGTTTCCCATACTGAATCACTACTAAGGCCCTATATGCATGCTGAATCTTAGGCTTTTCTCTGAATTAAAGGTTGGCCTAAGGGGAATTCTTTTACTTGTACTTCACTTTCTATATTTACTGTCTCATTCTTACCATCCACTCCAAGTTTTTGGATTGCAGAAGCACAGCTCTAATCCTTTTCTTTCCTTTATTCCTCCCTCCCCACCCCCCAGTCATAAGAAGTGGTCCGCCAGCACCTGCATTCTGACTTTCCCCCTTCAGTTTATCGCTCCAATCTGAGGTTAGCACAAAAGGCAGCATTTGCATGTCCTTTGCTCATTGTAATTCCTCCCTTAGGTGGGCAAGTTCTTTCTGGAAGGTGTCTCTGCCTCAGTTGCCCACAGCAAAGGCCACACAGCTGCTGCCACTGTCTGCTGAGGATCTGGGGCCCCACAGGGGTTACACCAGAAATCAATATTGTTGGTGCTCATGTGATAGATCTCGTGCCAGGTAGAGGAGGACAACTACCCTGGGATTCCCAGCACAGATATACATCCTCCTTCAGATGGAATGGTCTCAGATGCCAGTCTTACCACCCATTCCAAGAGCAATACAACTCTCAGCTGTCATTTGCATGTCTTATATCCTATAGGAAGAACCATGTAACCGATCCTCCCAAACCCATCTTTGGTCCTGCTGTGTTCCTACTCAGCTGTCAAGGTTTTATTACTTTTTCTGGAGAGATATGAACACACATCTATTCACCCTAGATAAGACTCCAACAACAAACTAAAGGAAGGATTCCATCCAACTCCATCTTTATCTTCCAACACTAGTTTGGCAATCCCATAAATTTATTGGCAGTTACTTACAGGAACGTGAGTGAGGAGTTACTTATATTCAAAAACACCTGCATCACTGAAAAGTCCATTCCATCATGAATGACTGCTCACAAAACCTGCCTCACTGGTCTGCCACCAGTATATTTTATCAATTAACCACCACCACCCTTCCTGGCTGTCCTGGAGTTCCTTTTGTAGATAAGACTAGCCTGGAACTCACTCATCCTTCTGCCTCACTAATGCTTGAATTAAAGGCATCAGCCACTATACCCAACCCATCAATTAACCTAACTCCTATATACACTAGGAACTGTAGACCAGGTGCAGTTCGTAGGATTCTTTGTGAAGGGGGAACATAGAGGGTGTCAATGGCTAGAATGCCCAGTGTTGGTAATCACAACTACTCTGATTTTGAAACCTTTACAGGCCATGTCACACCTGGGGGGACAGTTTTTCACAATAGGTGGCTTAGGAATTAGTCCCTGTTCTCTTTCCTTCCCATAAACTCTACTCAAGGGTCGACACAAGCTACCCAACGCACCTGCACGCTGCAGCATCTCCTTCCCTTTATCCAGGTATTTGAGAAGCCACGCCACGCACGTGCCCTCCAAGAAAGATCTCCATGACCTTGCAAAACCAGATGCCTCCCATTTGCGCCGGGTGTTCTGAGCCTCCTCGTTATCCGCTGCTATCCAGGAGCGCAGGTCCTCAGTCAGAGCGATGTAATCCTGTCCTTCATAAGCCATCTGCTTATACCCACGGAGGAGGCGGTGGTCTGGTCCTATGTCACAGCCGCACAGCCACTGGATAGTGTGAGACCCTGTTGCAGCCAGGGAGATCAGGAAGGTCTCCTAGGTTAGCCCCACTCACTACACATAGCCTGAGCGTGTTTGGTTAAAACCTATTTCAAATTGAAATGAAACCCCAATAAATTGCCTCAAGCTTTTCCAGGATGGCGGTAACTTGTCGGATTTCACTAACCCAAGGCTTGTTTCCATGGTCCTAGGAATATGCAGAGACTATAGCTAACTTTCTGAGTCTAGGGTCACTCACCATTCTCCCTCTGGCTATGGGAGCTGAACATGGTCCACAGTTCGACTCGACCAACTAATAAGACGCGCCTGCCGAAGCGCGTCAACTCCTCCAAATGCTCTGGGTCCTGAGCCATAAATGACACCCGCGGCTTCACCCGTGGACTCTCCTCGTCGCTGTCGAAGCTCAAGATCTGCGTGTTGTCCACGTAGCCCACGACTGTGAACCGAAGTTTGCGATAGCCAGGATTGTAGGCGATGACGAAATACCGCAGAGAGTGTGAACCTAGGGGAGATGCTCGGTGACCCTGCACCCGGCCAGACCGGGGAACTGGCGCACTCGCTGGGAGGCGTGCAGGGTGCGGGGCTCCAGACGCGGATTGGAGAAGGGAGCCTGGCAGGGGCTGTCCATCTCGAGGAAAGGGGAGGTCTAGGTGGGCGAGGGCGGAGACGTGGCTTTCGGTGTGCGGTCCCTGCCGGGTGCTCTTGCTCCTGGCAAAGACTGTTTCTCTCTCCACCCCACACTCACTGGCGCGGATATGAGTTGAGGCCAGGGCGGCTGCCAGCAACAGATACAGGGCGCATGGCACCGTGGACCCCATCCTCTGTGTTTGGAGAATTTGACGAGATTGGTTCGTTGTTCCTCTTTGGGTGGTTTTTTAGCCTTGCGGGTGTGTGGGGACGGATGACGATAGCTCTGAGTGGTTCTCCAAAATTCCCACGTACAACAGAAATGAACTTGTGGATGTTCAAACATTACTGGGGAATAAGGGATTCCTATTTGTGAGTTCTTAGTGTCTTCTTGACACCCCCTCCCCCCCAAAAAGAAAAGAAATTAAGGCTAACGATCAAAACATTAACAAAATCAGACTCAGAAGGACGCTCCAAGACCACTTCATTAGTTTTGGCGGGGGGTGGGGGCGAGGTGGGAGGGTAATGATGACAACAGCACTTACAAGCCATAATCTTAGCAGCTCTGTCCAGAATGTCAAAGTAAGCATACTGGAGATTTTGTTCTGGATAAAAGAAGAGATAGAAAAGGGAAAAGAAAAAAGTCAACCTTTTGAGTTAGAAATCAGGAAAACAGTAGGCTTTGCAGTGAATATCTGCAAGAACTGAATTGAGGGAGGTCCTCCAGGGATATAGTAAGTAATTCATTTAGGGTATTATTATTTCTCTTGTGTGTTTTCAAATGACTGGCTTTCTAGAAGGGTTGTCTGCTGGCCATGTGGTTAACAGGACTAGTTAGATTAACTCTTAAGAGAGGGGGCATTGGCATGCGATATTCTGGTCTTTGGGACAGACCAGAATGTATAGTCTCCACCCCTGGTCAGATGTGGAAATTAGATTCCATTCTTTTGACCAAAAGGAAATTACCTCAAAGCCCTGATACTTCCTCCTTTTCATACGGTAAACGGGGAAGTGGGGGTCGGGGTAGGAGGCCCATTCCCAGTGACCTCCAAGACTGATAATGCCTGTTTAGCTGCCTAACACTGGCAGAAGGTCCTGACGATTGACAATTTGTGAGCTAGAGAAATGAACTCTGGTGCCATGAGGAGTGCTCAACCCTTAGACACCTTGAAAACAAGACTGAGACCAGATACTTTACCAACACCCTTTCCTGCACCACTCTATCACAGTGTCTCCCAGAGTCCTGGTGAGGAGCTGTGTGTGACAGCAAGCCTCAGCATTTTGGTTTCTGGATCTTTGTATATTCTTACAAATTATTGAGGACCTCAAAAAGATTTTATGAAGGCTACATTTATTGACCTTTTCTGGACTAAAATCTAAAACACCGGACTAGAAGATGGCTCAGCAGCTGAGAGCATGTATTGAGCTCAGTTCCTAGCATCTATGTCCTGCAGCTAGCTCACGGCCACCTATATATAACTCCAGCTCTAGGAGATCTATGGTAGGGGCCCCTGAGAGTCAGTGAAAATAAAAACAGAAGATAGATTTGTGGTCCATGCAATGTCTTTGAATATACATAAACTTGACCACATCTCTCCTATAACCCTTCTTGCTCAGTGAATTTTCCTGAGAGAACTTGAAGAACTGAGGCTGTTATGTGGTTTTTATCTCTGCCAAATTGCTTATGGAGAGTTTGCTACATCCACTGAGCAGCCCTCCCTTCCTCCACATATGAACCATCTTTATTATTATTATTGTTATTATTATTTTGGTTTTTCAGGGCAGGGTTTCTTTGTGTAACAGCTCTGGCTATCCTGGAACCAGGCTGGCCTAGAACTCACAGAGATCATCTTTATTATTTTTCTAGTTTTTTTTAATTAGTTTATTTTTATTTTACCTGTATGTATATTTGGCCTGCATTTATGTATGTGTGCCATATAAAAGCAGTGCTCACAAAAGCCATCAGATCCTCTGGGTCTGGAATTGTAGAGGGTTGTGAGCCATAATGTAGATGCTTGGAGTTGAACCCCAGGTCCTCAGGAAGAGCAAACAGGCTCTTAACTGTGGAACCATCTCTCCAGCTCCCTGGGCCATCTTTAAAATCCCACCTTTAGGTTTTAAAATAACCAATAAAATTATAAATTACCATAAATGGGAGACAAAAAAGCAAGAACCATATTTTAAAAAGCCCTGTTTTCTGTATTCATTGATCTTGTTCAGTTTCTTTTCTTTTTTTAAAATTAGTTAATAAATTTTTAAATTAGTAAATAAATTAATAAATATTTATTTATTATGTATACAGTATTCTGCCTGCATGTGTCCCTGCAAGCCAGAAGAGGGCACCAGATCTCATTACAGATGGTTGTAAGGTACCATGTGGTTGCTGGGAATTGAACTCAGGTCCTCTGGAAGAAGCCATCAGTGTTCTTAACCACTGAGCCATCTCTCCAGCCCCTTGTTTGGTTTCTTTATGAAGAAGAGTTCATCTAAGCCTGTAGTGCACATTAAACTGTTTTCCTGAAGAAACCTTTGGTCAGAATCACAACATATTTGACTTCCATGCACATCCCCCAACAAACAAATAAAATATTTTCAAAATTAATGTAATATTTTTAAAAATACTTAAAACATGGTGATACATTATGGCCCATGACTATAGTCCCAGCATGTGGGAGGCTAGGCTGAAGAAAGAGGTTTGCCATGAGTTTGAGGCCAGTCTGCATTACATGAGACCCTTACTCCACAAAAGAAAACAATATACAAGATGTTTTTTTTAAATAAAAGTGAAATTTTCTTTTAACCTGCAAATGAGTGGTGCTGTTAACTGTAGTTTTCAGAAGAGGACATGCCTGCCAATGGCCACGTCAGAGGATCTGCAGACAGCAATGGAGCTTATGGAACACAGCCCAGAGGATAACAAAGCTACTCTGAGTGCGTCCTGGACAGGCAAAGTCCCAGAGGATGTTTCCAGAACGCCCCTTGCTTCTGCTGTGCTTCCTCCTGCTTGTGCTGTCCTGTGCCTGCTGTGTTTGGAATGCTGTGACTTCCCACTGTATCTAGTATAGTGTGATTGTTTCATGGGAAAATCCCACTCTTCACTGGGCAATTTACTTGAAGATCATAAGGAAGATGATTTTTATAAGAGCAATGATGATTAGTTAGATCTATGATTTAACTGGACTTTCTGATTTAGCCTAAAAGATGCAGATAGTTAGGACAGTTGTTGAAGATGATTAGGGACATAATTTAGGTTATTCTGCCAATTGCTCCAATAGAGGTTCAGAAAAAGCAAATACAGGCTAAAATTTAGCTTCTATTACTCCCACCAAGAATAAGACCACTACCACAGTTTAAAGCCAAATTTGAAGCAAGCTTGAATTAAATACTGGCCAGGTGGATGGGCTCTGGCCAGGTCCATACCTAGGTTCCTGGGAAATGGCCCAGAATCACAGTTTGCAGCAGCTTAAGAAGGAAAACTCATAATTCATTGTATTTTCCATCAGCACCAATCAGGGGCAAGCATACATCCTGATGTACTTCCAGCCTGTGCCCTTCCCACCCACATGTGATAAAGCACATCCAGTGCAGATGGGTCAAACAAACTTGTTTAGGGGAATGAAAAACGTGTGGCTTGTTATCTTCCTTAAACAACAGCCTCCACCATTTCAGGAACTATCTGTTCTTGGGCTATGGGCTTGCAGATCAGAGACATTTTTGTTTTGTGGATCTCTTAGTTTTAGCAGTAGTTAAAACTTAGAGTGTAACTTTGGCTCTCACACCTTCTCCTTTGTTAGATATGAGATTCTCAGAGGATGGAAAATAAGAACAAGGTTGTTTTATGCATTATAGAACCATGAGTTCTGCCTGTGGAAAAACAGGCTGATGATCAAAGAAAACAATTATGTGCTTACACCCAAGGTTAGGCCTGAGTTCTTGGTCACGTAGCTTACAAAATTAATCACAGGCCCCAATATACATCTTGAAAAAAAAAACAAAGTTGTGAAAAGAAATTAAATGACCCTATTGTATGTAAAGGAAAACAGATGGTGAACTGATCACTCATATTAGTTGCATATTAGAGAATGTGTAATTTATGGTTGTGAAGTTTAAAGTTTCTCTAGAGTAGAATTAAGAATAGAAATCTGGCTGGACGGTGGTGGCACATACCTTTAATCCCAGCACTCAGGAGGCAGAGGCAGGTGGATCTTTGTGAGTTTGAGGCCTACTAGGTCTACAGAGCTAGTTCCAGATCAGCCAGGGCTACACACAGAGAAACCCTGTCTCAGGGCAAAAAAAAAAAAAAAAATCTGTTATATTGAAACTACAAACACCTGCCTGCCAGTACAAAGGAACTGGCTGAAATACACTTGCTTAAAATCTTGCTAATCAATTATAAAAGAATCATTGCTTTGGGGTGAAGAAAAATGTTTACTTAAGGGCTTCTAAGGAAAACATGTAACTTGTTGATCTTAATGTGATTTCTTCTTATGTAAATATTTTAACCGATTTTTAGAGAATATGTAACTTATGGTTGTGAAGTAATCTTTTCTTGCAAAGAAATCTTTGTATTAGGAGTTTTAAAAGGGATAAGAGAAAAATGAGAGATATAGTAGAAAGAATGCTTCAAGAAAGAGATAGAAGGAGAACAACTGGGAAGAAGATATAGGGAAACATCAGGGTTGAAGAACAGAACAGAGTAGAACAACCATCAGAGAGAAAAATAAAATGAAGAATTAAGCTTTGGCCCTCAGATAAAGATCACGTGTGTGTCTGTGCATCTGTCCAGTAGTTCACCTACTCCTCATCTCTTCTCCAGTTTTTCTGACCTGCTGAAAGCTGGTCTTTCCAGCAGCATCCTGTCACCCAACAGGAACTTGAACCCTGGACAGGGACCTGGATATACAATCACAGAAAGCTGTCCAGGGAAGAGGAGATTCTCTAATGCTCTGTATGGATAGGGTCTCACTCAGAAGTGGGCTTATAGAAATGTAAACAGAGGGCTAGAGTTCTCTGTCAGTTATTGAAGCACACACTGAATGTCAAATAACAGATTGGTGTGGGGCCAATGATTACAAAGCTAGGTGTCTACATCTTTCTGGGATTTTGATGAAGATGTACCCTTTCCATGGCTGGGTGTGTCCCATAAGTTCTTGGGCCTGGTTTTGCTGATATAATTCTAATATACCCACATGCTCCCACAGTCTCAATTCATCTCAATAAATTTATAGCAGATTGCATTCCCCACACTTGCAATACTAGCACTCAGGCTGAGGCCGGAAGATTTATGGGAGTAGACGGTCAGCCCAAACTGTTGTATCGCTCACTTTTCTCACTAATGTAAAATAAACAAACACAAAACCTGAAAGAAGAAAAAACAACTTAAGGTAAGAAGGATTTATTTTCATTTTTGATTTAAGAAAGTGCAACCCATCCTGGCAGAAAAGCCATGGTGGAGTTCATGGAAGCTGGACCATGTGGCTGGGAGGGAATGACTCACATCTCCAATGCATCAGGCAGCAGAATATGGGGATGTTGGCTCTTACCTCCCTTTTCTTCAGTCTGGTCCCCCAAATCACAGGCTTCCACATTCATTGAAGCCCTCCCCTCCTCAGTTAATCTCTGGAAACACCTTCACAGACATTTCCAGAATTGCAAGTCCTGGGAGATTCTAAATCCAGTCCAGATGACAATGAAGATTAGCCTTCAGAGTTACAGGGTGAGTTCCAGGTCATCCTGAGGTACAGTGTGAGAACCTGCCAAAATAAAGGTGCAGGGAGGACTAGAGGATGGCTTAGTGTTAAGAACATTTGTTGATCTTGCAGAACACCTTGGTGTTCAGTTCCCACCATCTACATGGTAGCTCACAACTCCCTGTAACTCCAGTTTCAGAGAATCTAATGTCCTTTTCTGGCCTCCTCAGGATGGTGCACACACAGTACACATAAACTCAAGCAGGCAAACACATGTACACAAAATAAAATAAATAAATAAATATTTATTAAAAACAATTGACTGGAGAGATGACTTAGTGGTTGAGAGCACTGGCTGCTATTGCATAGGACCTGGGTTAACTTCCTAGCATATACACCATAGCTCACAATCATCCAGTTCCAGAGGATCCAACAAGTTTTCTGACTTCTGAAGGATCCTTCATGCAGGTAGTATACACACACACACACACACACACACACACACACACACACACACATATATATATATATATATATATGTATACAATGAAAATATTTTTAAAACCTTTCTCAAGGCAGGGAAGGCTCTATGCTCAACTATCTAAGACAGGTCTGGGAAGAAGCCTGAGTATTTTAGAACAAGATTTGTGGTCACTGATGTTCATCATCAGAGCATCACCCACACAATGAAGAACAACCTCAAATGGGAAAAATAATATTTTTCTCTGAGTAGGTAAGAAAGGATAATGTCATCAGCCCTGAGTTGTCATGTTAGCAGATACATACTATTTTCTCTCCCATGGGGTTTAGCTTCAGGTGGAAGACTTAGGAAGCAATTTATATAATGGGAGCCTCTGACTATTTGCTATCTGAAAATTCCCCAGATTGATTTATTTCCATGTAAAGATACTAGAATTCAAAATCTTGTACTTACTAAACATAAAGGATTCTACATGTGATATTGGAGGGTTGAAGATTATTATTTTATTATGGAACCAAGTGAGTATTCACAGCTAGGCAGAGAACACACAAGCCCATCAATGTCAGGTGCCACACAAGACACACCATCCCTGTCACTGGACACAGGTGCTGGTCACTGTGGCTGGGACATTTTCCCTGCAGCTCCTGGAAATGATGTGACAATGTTACACTTGCCAAAAGCATTCTGTGCAGTTCCAGCTTTTCCTTATCACCATGTGCTGAGCCAAAGTCCAGCATGTGGTCATTTGACTGGTGGAACCAAGGACTCATGATGTGCTCAGCTGCAGGAATGCTTTTGGGGAGGTGATGGAGAGACTTGGTCTTTGCTTCCTTTCTAGACTCTCAGAGGGGTATTCCCCTGAAGTGTAAAGAGAGTTCAAGAGCTGAGACAAATGGCCAAGGGATGGGGATAAAATGGGAAAAGTCAACTCTTATAATAGACTGTGTAACTACATCCTTTTCCATGAAGGTAGGGAAAATGCAGAATGGGAGAACTCAGAAATTCCTTCCTGAGTTCAGAACCTCGGGAATATTTTTAGAATTATTATCTGAAGACCTAGATTCAAATCAAGAAATAGGAGGGAGATTTGCAAGAAAAGCCCAAGTTCCTGTCTGGAGATCTACCCCAAGCAGCATGTCATGTCCAATCACGTCAGTGTGAGATATTTGTCACTTGTTTTCAAATATGCCTTAGAAAGTGTTAGAACACAAGGTCCTACATCAGATAAGCACACATATATGTATATGTCTTATAGTAACAGTAAGACAAAAGCCTTCAGATAAGACCCCATTCCCTACCTCTGCTCTTCCTCATCACAATGGCAGCCACAGCTCCAGTGAACACAACTCCAAAGAGAACCAGGCCAGCAGTGATTCCCATGATGGGGATGGTGGGTTTTGGAGGGTCTGAGAAGGAAAGGGAAAAAAAGAGAAGATGTGGGCTCTGGACTCCTGCTCTTAGCCATGACCCTCTCAGGGTCTCGAGAAGGGCTCCCACTTTTCCCAACGACCATCTCTGTGTTCACACCACTCCTTACCCCATCTCAGAACAAGGGGCTGGGTTAGTGCTTCATGATGCACATGACATGTGTATCTCTGTTCCTCTCCAGAAGGCGCCACCACAGCTGCCCACTTCTGGAAGGTTCCATCCCCTGCAGGCCTGGTCTCAACAAGGTCCATGTCCTGGGTCTGGTCTTCTTCATCTAGCTGCCAGATCAGGGTGATGTCTGCAGGGTAGAAGCCCAGGGCCCAGCACCTCAGGATGCTGTCTCCTTCGGGTCTGGGGTGATGGGTCACATGTGCCTTTGGAGGAACTGAGGGAAACAGACAGTTGAGGCATCTAAGATTCTTTCTTGCATAGTACTTATATGACCTTTCTGGGAATGGAGAGAACTTGGGCGGTGGAGGGATTTAAGCACCATACAGTAGTCTAGACTCAGGCATCTGGGATAATCTACTCCTTGGAAAGCTCTAGAATCAGGATGATTCAGGCAATATAGACTTCAGGACTCCCAAGGGAGAAAGGAACGTCTGGTCCTGACTGGGTGAGGGCTGAGAGACTCAGCATCACTGGAGCCAGACGCTGCAGAGAACGCTGCATGAGAGGCCATGAGAGGCCATGAGAGGCCATGGATCACAAAGGGCTGCGGACTGGGAGCTGGTGTTGGTTATTTCAGGGATCTTCTCTCCTTTCATCCTGAGGCAGACTCTCAGTCCTGAGACAAGGTTGTTCCCTCTCTCGGGAGAGTCCCTCTCTCTGGTGTTTGATCAGGATACCCAGGATCACTCTTCCCTCTCCAGATGCAAAGAAGATAAGTAGTATTTAAACCCATGTTCCTCCCTTCTGGGGAGACGCGAGCCCCAGGCTGAGGATAGACAGAGGAGATTCCTCAAGGCCCCTTGTACCTGCTCCTAGCAGAGTCTCCTTTCCTATCTCCAGGTATGTGCGAAGTGACTCCACACACTCGCCGGTCAGGTAGGATCGCCTTTGCTCCGCGACACCAGCCTCCTCCCACTTGCTCAGCGTGATTTGCGCCGCCGAGTCGCCTGCGGTCCAGGAGCGCAGGTCCGGGTTTAGGGCGAGGTAATCGCGGCCGTCGTAGGCGTGCTGCTCGTACCCGCGGAGGAAGAGTCCCTCTGGCCCCACGTCGCAGCCGGACACACACTGAAAGACGTGAGAGCCTGGCCCCGCCCCCGGTCTTATTTGAACCCTAAACCATAAGAAACCCGGTCACGGGTCCCCTTAGGTCCAGGCTCTCCGCGAATTCCACAGCTCGGGCCAAACCTCACACCTGAGTGGGAATTCGGTGTCGTCTGTGAGAATGAGGAGTCGTGACCTCCGCCCCAGCCCTGGGATCACTCACCATCCCCGCTATGGTTGTAGACGTCCATAGCCTCCTTCAAGTTCACTCGGGAATTCTTTGCAATGTCCTTGACGGTCCGGGTCTGCCGCTCCCAATACTCAGGCCCCATCTGCCTCACCCACAGCGCGCGGGGCTCCATTCTCTGACTTTCCCCCTGGTTGTTGTAGCACAGGAACTGTGAATCGTCCACGAATCCGACGAAGATGAAGGCAGGCTCTCTCAAACCAGGCTGGGATGTGACGGTGGCAAAAAACTGCAAGGAATGGAAGCCTGGCGGCGGAGGGCGGTGAGATCCAGATCCTCCTCCCGGAATCTGTGGCGGTGCTCGGGGCGGGGCGGGAGGGGAGCTGGGAGCAGCAGGGCTTAGGATGCAAAGAGAGAAAGGAGCAGGAGGGTCTGGCTGGGAGATTAGGAGACCCGGTTTCCCGGGTACTGTCTCGGCCCCAGCCCTTGCTCTTCCTGACATTGGCAGTTTCTGGTCAGCACTCACCTGCCTGGACCTGGATCAAGGCCAAAGCTCCGGTGAACAGTGGTAGGAGGGCAGAAAGCGCGGAGCTTCCCATCCTTGGTGTTTAGAATGCCCAGAGCGACTGAGACCTTGTTCCTTTCTGTGGACGGTGTAGCATTGTGGTTTCTGGGAAGAGACCGTGGTGACTGAGCTTTCTGTAGAATTCAGACATGCAGTGGGGGGTGAGGACACGTGTTCAGGCAGAAGGACCAAGACAGCCGAGAAAGGTGGTGAGCTGGAAAAACTCAAAGGTAAGGAGGAATCCCTGACCCTTGGCTTCCTGTCACCCCACCTACCTCCTTTACAGACCAGACCTGAGAGTCACGCCTGAGGTCAGGGAATTTAACACCCTCTTCCCCCTGCACCTAGTGCACTCTTTCACAAATCAGTGAGGTCCTCAGAGAGATGTTGCATGTTACATCCGCCCCACGTTTATCCTTTTAAAAATCATCAACAACAAAAATAGGGGCTGGAAAAATGTACAAGACCTGGATTGGGTTTCCAACATCCATATTGGGTAATTTTGTTTTGTGGCAATATAAATAAAGGTTCCTCAAAATTAGATAATCTGAAGATCAGGAATATGGATACAACCCCCAGTAACTTCACTTTCAGGGTTCTAGCGCCCCCTTCTGGCCTCCTCAGGGTCCTGCAACAATTGGTGCACATATAGACAAGTAGGCACACAGATATACACATGAAACAAAAACAAATAAGTTTTTTATATATATCTGAAAGATAGGCCAAATATGGTGGTGCAGGCCTGTAATCTCAGCACTTGGAGGGCTGAGAGAGGCTTGTTACAGTTTGAGGCCAGCATAGGCAGCATGAAACCCTGTCTCCACATAAACAAAAACAGAAAACAAAACAGCACATTTGAAAAGTAAAATCGCCTTTTTTATCCTGTAAGTAATTGGTGTTGGATAATACAATAATTAATAAGTCCATTTGCAATTGGGTTCCTTGGCCTGGAGTCATACTAAGGTGCCAACAGATTAACCCACTGTCAGGAGTGTTACAGTAAATAAGTTATAAGTGTTATGTAAGTAAGTTATAAAAGAAAATATTATGATGTCTTGGATGCATCTAAGTGACTTTGAGGGTTCCACAGAACTTGCTTTAAGAACTGCTGTTCTATGTTGGGCTTAAGTGGCAGTAGACTGCAAGCTCATCTTCACATCCAGTTATATAGCTCACTGCCCCTGACCACTGGAGATTCCTGTTCTGCCCACATGATTGACTTAGATCTATAGAAGTGGTTTTGAAGCCACAAGAGACATTCAGAAACTTCTTCAGATAACTCAATTGTTTCTTTGTGGTGATGCCTTTTGGAAAGCAATTTTAGAATAAAGAGAATAATTGGCAGTGCTCTAGCTTCCCAACAAGGCCCCCTCCTGCTCTCAAAGTGCTGTGTCAAACCAATCATGAGGCAGATGAAGAACCTAGAATAAGAGGCTGGCAGACTAGGGTGGCAGACTCTGCCAGCACACACAGGACTTGGGGCATGCATGCTGTCAGAGGATCCAATCAGCACGAAAAAAGTACCATAGTATGAATCTGTGAGGCAAAGGGTTGTCCCATGATGCCTTTATCAATCCATTTTGTGGCAGTACAAAGTTTCTCAAAATCAGGTAACCTGGAGTTTGAGAGGAAGTTAAGGCTTCTGAGGGAGAGAGAATGAGCTTTAGAATGAGAGGAGGGCACAGAATGAGAGAGGTAGTGTGAAGGCTTAGACTTGACTTTACAGGCTCCATCTTAGGGAAAGGGCCACCATCTCAGACCACCTGCTGTACTCAGTTCCAGGAAGAACCTCAGGAATGTGCCATGACAACTCAAATGTATACAGAACAGTATCCTCCTGCAGACATCCTGTCTGCAGTTTATGGCCCTTGAAGGTATCTAGATAATCCTGCTGAGCAGTCCAGATAATCCTGTTCAGTGGATTGTTGTTCCTCAGCAAAAGTCTAACTCAATGGTTTCAAATGTGGTTTTGTGCTCAAAGTCTAGAACAATAGTTTCCCAAAAATTACCTTGACCGGTATCCCTTCTACCCAATCCCAAATTGCCAGTTCCTGGCTTGTGGTTTTTCCCTATAAAAACTCTCTACACCTGGGCTCGTGGCCGCCACCACATTTCCTTCCCTCTGCAGTGGCCCAGGTTGAACCTGAATAAAAGGACCCTTATGTGCTTGCATGGGAAACCGGCTCCTTGGTGGTCTCTGGGGGTTTCTGGAAACAGGTACAACAGTAGCATTAGGAGTAGCATTAGCAACTGGTGGCAGCCAGTTGCTCCTAAAATGTACAATGTAGTGGTAATTGCTCCACCCATGACCTTGGGCCCAAAGGAGGTGGTACTAATATGGTGATATTTTATTTGTATTAAATGTTATTTGTATGTTAATATATAAAGTTGCCTGGGGGTCAGAGCTATTAGCAAGCCATAGGAAAGCCGAGCACGGTGGCGCACACCTGTAGTCCCAGCTACTAGGGAGGCTGAGACAGGAGGATCGCTTGAGTCCAGGAGTTCTGGCTGTGGTGCACTATGCCGAACTTAGTGCGGACACCGAAGTAGCTCTGGTTCGGAGAGGTAGGACCATCACAGGAGGAAGGGTAAGGTTTTAGCTCTTAGCTCTGACCTCTTGGCTTTCTTCTTTGCATTGGTTCTGTGTTTCTTATTTAATAAGATGGTTGGTTACATCTACATACTTCCTACTGTTGTACACGACCTCTGATAAGGAGTTGGAGAAGGGTCACATGCCCCTTCTCCCTGCTCTGGCTTGTGAGGTGGATTTACTCCCAGTCAGATGAGAGGACGACTTCTGCTGTCTACTCCATTCTGTAATCATGAGTGTATTTCCTCAATTTATACCTTAATAAATTCTGTTATCCATTGATAGACTCATGTGGATTGATCATAATAGTACATAACTGCTTCTTTGGAGGACTAGTTTGGACAAAATCAAAAGCATTTTGAGTTGAGCTTTGGAGTGCCCTGAGATAGCTCATGTCCTAAGCTAAAGCAGGTTTTGCAGACAGTGACATTTAGATCTGGAAGCTTCACAGAGTCTCATTTGGCAGGAGCTTTCTGAATAATGTCTATAAGGACACCCTATCTTATCTGGTTAAGAAATTATGAGCATACTGCATGAGATTGGAGCCTTGGGTAAATGCTACAGAATCTAAAACATCTTTAGGTATTGAAGAAAATCCTGAAGCAAACTCACATGGCCAAGGTACTAGAGTCCAGACTAACTTTCTCCCATTAAATGTAAATGCAGAGAGAAATAACAAGTCTGAGTGTGAGGGAATCTAAAAGAAAGAAGAACAGAGGCTGACCACTGTAAACCAGGGTTAAACCAGGGCACAGCATCATGAGGGAATACAAAGAGGGTTCTGTTTTTTGCAAATCAATGTATTTGATTTCTGAATCCAATTGCCTTCTTCCTTTACTGACAAGACTGGCTTTTTAGGGTGAAGAAGTGGAAACAGAAATCCAGCTGAAAGGGGGAATTTACTACAGGTTCTTTCTTTCTTCTGAATCTTGTGACAGGTGGTTGGTGTTAGGCTTCTAAAGGGAAAGGTTTGTTTCCTTCTCAGGAAGGGCTATGGGTCTGTGGTCAGTACCAGTTCAACCTCAGTAGCGTGTGATGCCTAGAGCTGGATGAAACTTCCTGTCACATGCCATTCTTTTCTTAGATATTAAATCCAGATAAGTTTCCATAAAGGCAATAAAGTAGGAAGCTTGAGGTTTGCTCTGAGGACATGGAAATAAAAACACTGGTGACACATGAAATGAAAACACTTCCTTTAACAGTGATATTAAACTTATATAACAAAATCATCTCTAAATATACCCTAATGAGAAGTCAGAGACCCCAAAGGTCTAGGACACTAAGAGTGCCTAATAATATGGAGTGGGCTGATAGTTGGATGATTTAGTACGTTGTTCATAGACTCCAACAGCTTAAAGGGAATCAGAAATGTCAGATATTCACAATTTCTACAACCCAAGAGTAGAGAAAAGCACACTTGTGTCAATAAAACTCCAGTTCTGAATCTACTTTCAGTTCTAGAATGTAACTAAAGATTATTGACCCATTAGTGTGTGTGGTTTCATCTTACTAGAGAGAAAAAGGAACTTCTGGAGGGCCCTGATCTTTAAGGAGTGCGCCTTTTAAATGTTTTCCCAAAAACAATAATGCTGTTTTTGTCTGTAAGATTCTATCTATAAGGTAAGATTTGTTTTTTAAACAGCAGTGACTTTTAAAATTTTAATTAGATTTATTCACTTCATTTTATATGTAAATGTTTTGCCTGCATGTATGTATGTGCACCGTATGTATGCTTACATATACAGAGATCAGAAGAAGGCATAGGATCCTCTGGAACTGGAGTTATAGATGGTTGTGAACCACCATGTGGATGCTGGGAAATGAACCAGGATCTTCTGTAAGAGCAATAAGTGCTCTTAACCTCTGAGCCACTTCTCTAGCACCAAGATGTGTGTATTTAAAAAATTATTTTCCTGCTGGGTAGTGATGGTACATGCCTTTAATGCCAGCACTTAGGAGGCAGAGGCAGGCAGATCTCTGAGTTTGAGGCCAGCCTGGTCTGCAGAGTGAGTTCAGGACTACAGAGAACTACTACTTCAGAGGAGAGCCAGGACTACACAGAGAAATCCTGTCTCAAAAACCAAAATAGATATCTAGATAGAAATCTATATATCCAGATAGATATCTAGATATCTAGATATCTAGATAGATAGATAGATAGATAGATAGATAGATAGATAGATAGATAGATAGTCAGTCAGTCAGACAAATAGATAGATGATAATTCTTTTCCAAGCCCGCCATGGTAATGCACATCTATAATCCCATCACTCAGGAAGCAGTGGCAGATCTCCATGAGTTCGAGGCCAGTCTGGTCTACATAGTGGGTACAGCCAGAGCTATATAATGAACACCGTCTCACTCCCCACCATCCCCACTCCCCCTCCCCCACAAAATTATTTTCACGTCTTGTTCTCCTGTACATCATTTCCAAAGATTTGTATGGCTACTTTATTAGGTCTCAAAGAAACCCAGGACAGGTCTCACTCAGCACCTGTGGCTCCTCCTCCCGA